ATAATAATAATAATAATAATAAGAGATGTCCCACGATTAACTTAAGAATCTGTATCGGGCCAATGGCTAAATTGTCTGGATTAGCTGAGTTATCTGCAGTGCCCCATTTTTTTTTAACAGTTATTTATTGGATGAATACAGCCCAGTTTGTAGCTTCATTTGTTGTAACGTTCAAAAATTCTAAATCAACATTTGAATGTTGCGCAGGTTTGGACTATAGAAATGTAGCAACCAGGTGACATCACTGTCTCTGTCTCTCTCCTCTGCTCCCTGTCTGTGCCATGGATGTATAAAGAGCTGCAGGTTTGTGTGTCTTTTTGAGTTAGGGGCTGGCTCAACAACTACTGACTGCTTAAAGTTAAACAGGCTATAAATTACGTTTGAATTGTAATGACTAAATGGAATTCCACAATTAATCTCAATAGAGTCAAGTAATGCAATTAGACTTACACACTTTCTTCTCTTTTTTTTATTTTTTTGAAAAAAATCTGCATTGTGTGTTTATTATTGAGACACAGTGAGTTTTCTGTAACTTAAAAAGGGATGTTTAAATAGATTTTGAAACCTAGATTTTACAATTAATGCACAAAAAATAAGTTTTATAAAAGAAAACAGTTTTAAACATCAAATACCTAGTTAAATATGCAAACATATTTTAAAAGATTTCTCTTAATTGCAGAAAGACTTTAATATGTATTAGTTGACCATACATGAAATAATTTAGTCACATCATTGTGTTTGTGTTGAAAAAGTAAAAGGCAATATACATTTTATACCTTCATAACTTTATGTTATGTATAGATATTTTTTCGATGAAAATCCGGTCGGACCAGGGTCATGTGACACATTTATTTGTGCAATCTGTTTCCAATAAATCGAGTTGTGATTTTGCTGCAAGATTAGATATATACTCCATGTTAATGACAGAATTCTATGCTCTAAAAGCAACTTATTTACCATACTGTACTACACTTCCATTTCCAGAGCCATTTCCAAGTTGAGTGAGCAAATTTGGGTTTACTTTGGGATGTTTATTGTCATCAGATGTCTTGTTAAAGTGCTCATGGTGTATGGAAAGAAACCAGGACAATAACATACAACATCTATATAAGTTTGAAGCTGCATTGGCTTTAAAAATCATGCAATCTTAACTGTCCTTCAATAAAAATGTGTTACATGATAGCTTGTATTTTTATTCACAGTGGTAGTTATAGTGGTGAAGAGCTTATGGTTTATCACTGGTGGTAAAATTTGTCACAAGGTGATTTAACTTCCTTGTTCACCTTTAGTCTGAAATTCAAAGGTACATTTATAGACCAATAAAGGCTACAATAGGATTCTTAGTATCAGTAAACAGTAGACTTGACAACGACCAGAGTTATACCACTGGTCTTGATTTTGTATTATTTTGGTATTTCCCAAAAATTCTAAATAATTAGTTTAAACAATTCAGTTCCATGGTTTTACTTACTTATGGTGGCTATTGCGGTTATTCAGGGTTATAGGTCTTCCATCATGGATTTTTGAAAGTATATTGCAAGAAAGAAGATATTCTTTTTTAAGTAACCAGAAACAGGGATTCTGGTCCAGCTGTAATCACCAGGTCTGAATAGTCAACATACACTTGAGAATTAGAAACAAGCAGCTTTCACTGCTCAGTCTGACAATGTTGTCTTTCTAACAATTAAACACATTTGAATTTCTAAATTCGAACGTATATTTCAGTTCTGTCTACTCACCAGGTAAGATCCTATTTGCTGCCACACACTTTGATGAAATCACAAATTCTGCACTGAACACACTTGAGACACCTTTCCCTTTCACATTCCAGTGCAAACACTGTTGTGCAACATTAATTACATTGTGGGCAGGACACAGGCATTGCACCAGATAAGTTAATGTTCAACATTAGACACCTTTAACTGGGAATCATCATACATATACTGTTCAGTACTTTACATTCTTACTTAACATACAATAATCCTTTACCTCCATCTTGCAAAACAATGCAATGCAAACGTCTATCATAGAACACAGACCTACTGTCAGCTGAAAGTATAAAATCCTTTAATGATGAGAAAGACTGGTCTTCCAAATCAAAGTTTTGTATCACTTATTCTGTATTTACCTAAATCACACAGCCGCCCAGTGTTTACTCAAGGTAGTGTAGCCAGTCCAATCAAACATGAAACAGGCCTAGTAGGGTAAATACATGTGTTATCAGTGATATT